GGTATTTTTTAAGATGCATTTTCTAATTTCAAAAAATGTTTTAGTAGATCAAAATCAGAAAATGTTAAGAGAAATTTGCTTAAAACTTAAAGCCAGGAAGAGGTTAGGATTCAGTTCAAATAGTAGGTAGGTGAACTTATCAACAGTTCAGGAGACAAAAATCCTTAAATATGGAGTATCTGTTAGCTTTGTCACTATAAATATTTTTAATTCTTTATCTGACATTTCTGTGAGTTCCCTTGTAATCTCTGCCTCCTGGCTAGATGGGAGCAGGAGGGTGAAGTCTGGGCAGAGGGTCTTCAGTGGTTGAAACCCCTGAATGGGGCTGCTTGGAACTCTAATCCACATTTCATCTCCAAATGCCAACAGTACACATTCAAATTGGTTGTTTGATTCCTTGTTAAGGCCAAGGCTGCTGATTCCCCCTGCCCCCACAGGATCCATATTTTCTGTTTTTTAAAGGTCATTTATTATATAAAGAACAAAGATCAATCAATAATATATTGTCTGCTTTTTTTTGATAACCTTTTGCCATCTTTCAATGAGCTTCATAATTCCTCATTCACAGAAGGACCTGCATTTATTGGTGAAAAACTGAACAAGGTGCTGATTTACAGCCTCATCTGAATTGAACATTATACCACACAAGGAGTTTTGAAGAAACAGTGGAAGTCTGACAGTATGAGGTCAAGTGAGTATGGGATGTGGCAGCACATCCCAAGCAAGTTCCAAAAAAAATTTTTTTTAAAGAGATTTTTGCTGTAGGGTGCATGTGCTCGCTGGAGAGACAGAAATAGAAAGTGAGAAATTACCCCTCAGAGGGGATGGCCACACTGCAATATCTTCTCCATTGTCCTCTTGGGATTTTAGGCACACATGCAGGGATTTTAGGCACACATGCACATGCTCCCGGCATCAATTTTAAGCCACCAGTTCTGGGACTTGAACAGCAGTCAACTACATGGGAGTCCAGCGATGTAGCCATTACACCATCTGCTGGTTCCCAAGCTCCAATTAATTTTTTAAAGAGTTATTTATTCTATTTAACTTCTCTTTTTTGACAAAATATAGAAAGTGAGAAAGCAAGCTGCCAGATCCAGGACTGGAACCATAGTTAGCCATGTGGGAGTCCAGTGCTCCACCACCATGCCATCTGCTGGCCCCACTCCAATAATTTTTGATGGGTGTTCAAATGTGTGTGGTTTTGCACTGTCATGATGGAGCACAATTCCTTTACCATCAATGAGCTCTGGACATTTCTGGATGATGGATTTGATCAAATGTCCAAATGCCAACAGTACACATTGAAATTGGTTGTTTGATTCCTTGGTAAGGCCACAAAAAACACACCACTTTTAAAACCCACCATACTGAGAGGGTAACCTTCCCCTGATGAATGTCTGCTTTCGATGTCGTTTGAGGTGAACCATCACTTTGGGACCAAGACCATTCACGCAAATTGTTGTAAACAATCCACATTTCATCATGTTATTAGTCACTTCAAAAAAGGATCATCTTCCTCACATTAAATGACTATATAGCAGATGTTTATATGCACCATCAAAGGAACTGTTTTGAGTTCACAAGGAACCCAAACGTCATGCTTGCTTATGTATCCCTGCTTCTTCAGGTGGTCATGAATGCTTGAGTGATATTCAATGTTTCTGCAATCTCTTGTGTCAGGTAACATAGGCTTGACTCCAACAGTGCCCTTATTTTGTCATCAACCTCAGTGGGTCCCTCAGGCCAAGGAGCATCAATGAGATCAAGATCACCAGCACAGAATTTTGTGAACCATGGTTGACATGGTTGACATGGTTGACACTGCCATCAAGACAGAGCTTTGTCACCATGAACGTTTCGCTTTTCACAAGCTAGACACATGTTCTTCCCTTTATGGAAGTAAAACCGTAAAAATGGCCAAATTGCACAGCTAAGTCTTCCCTCTTCAACCTGTAAAATCTCCAAAACTCAACCAAGTTGCTTAATTATTATTATTATTTTAGAATGAAGCTAGAACTGTCAGCTGTCAAATGAAAGCAGTAGCATAGAAACAAATGACTATTGGGTTGCCGGGAAAGTTATGATGCACTTTTGCACAGAAAAACAGAAAAGTATGTCATGACTTTCCCAATGACCTAAGAGTACTTCCAAAAATGAACTAGCGCCATCTGTTGCAAAAATGCCTCATGACTTTTCTGACAATCTGATACTAACAACTTTTTAGAGGTTTTTGCCTTAAGGCACATGAACTCACCAGAGACACTGAGAAATCACCCTCTGCCTTTCGGAAATGGCCATGTTGCAATCCCTCTCCTCCATTCTCTTTTTAGCACACACGCCTGCCCTGATTTTCAAGCCAGAGTCTGGACTCAAACTGCAGTTCGGTAATGTGGGAATCCAGCATGTAACTGTTCCCTATCTTTTTTTTAAAGAATTATCTTGGGACCAATAGGTGGCGTGTGGCGTGGTGGTGAAGGTGCTGGACATTCCCACATGGTCAGCCTCGGTTCAGGTCCCAGAACGGATGGATTACCTTCTCAGTTTCCCCTCTCTCTCTGGTCCAATTAAATAAATGAGTAAATAAATGAATTCTCTTAAAAAAAAAAAAATCTTATTGGGGCCGGCAGGGGGTGTGGTGGTTCAGGGTGCTGGACTCCCATATGTTTGACTGCAGTTTGAGTCCCGGACCTGGCAGCTCACTTTCTCTCTCTCACTGTCCCTCTCTGGTGAAATTATATTCTTTTTAAAGAATTCTTTATACAAATTTATTTTAAGATAGTTAAATAAAATAATTCTTTTAAAAAAAGGAATTATTTAACTTTATTAATTTGACCAGAGAGGGAGAGACAAAGTGAGAAAGCTGCCAGGTCTGGGACTTGAAGCACAGTCAGCCATGTGGGAATCCAGCACCCTGAACCAAGCTACCTGCCAGCCCCCACTTTTTATTTTAAAGGTATTTTTTTGGTCATAGGGCCCAAGTGCTTACTGCAGTAAGGGAGTTAAAGGGAGTTGGAGAGGTGCAAAATGAGAACGGTCTCTGGGGGATGACCACACCACAATCCTTCCTCCTCCATTCTCCCCTTAGCATTTTGGGTGCAGATGCACGTGTGTGCGCGTGCGCACACCCACACAGAGGATAACTGGTGTTTTCAAACTGCTGGGTCTGGCACTTAAACTGTGCAGTCAGCCATTTGGGATTCAGCCAGCCCCTGACTGACCCATTTTATAGCTTTTCTCAGAGCAGATTTGAACATTTCAGAAAGTGGGACCAGCAATTGGTGTAATGGCTACATCACTGGACTCCCATGTAGTAGACTGTGGTTGGAGTCTCTAACCTGGTGGCTTAAACTCATGCCAGGCACATGTGCATGTGTGCCCAGGATCCCGAGAAGAGAATGGAGAAGGAATTGAAGTGTGGCCATTCCCCCTAGGGTGATTTCTCACTTTCTGCCTGTCTGGGGAACGCATGTGCTCTACAGCAAAAAGTTTTCAAAAAAAAATTTTTTTTCAGAAAGTTGAGGGAAAAAACTACCATGTGGAAAAATAGCATAAATTTATTTAAAGATTAGAGTAGGACCAGTCCTGTAATGTAGCAGAAAAGCACTGTGCACAGAAAGGTGGCTCTCACATAGATTTCCTGGCTTCAGAAATGGGGCCAGCAAGAGGTAAAGTGGTTATGGCACTGGACTCCCATATGGCTGACTGTGGTTTTAGTACTGGATCCAGTGGCTTGAAACTCTTATTAGGTGTGTTTGCATGTGTTCGTGTCCAAAATCTCAAGAACAAAGGGATTGTGGCATGGCTACTCCCCCAGGGTGGGAGTGATTTCTCCCCCCCCCCCGAAGTAAGTACTACTGGTCAAATTAAAATAAAGTTAAATAAAAGAATTCTTCAAAAAAAAAAAAAATCAAACCACTCAGATCTTTGGACAATGAGAAATTTGACAGTATGTGCTAGGCATTGTTCTACATGTTGGGAAATAGCAATAAGCAAGTGTCTAACTTCGTGGAGCTTGTTTTACTGGGAAGGATGGACAAATTAACCGTTAAATAAAGCAAATAATTTTCTGCCATTTGTTATCAGTGTGACAGGGCTATAGTATATGAGATAGCTCACTAAACATTTCTGAGTATGGCTATGGGAGTGTGTGCAGAAGAGAGAAACTGGAGTAAAATACTCTGTCCAATGTGAGTGGGCATCACTCAGTTCAGGGTTCACATATAAGGCAGAATTCTCTGCTTGTCTGAACTAAGACATCCTGCAGTTTCCTACCCCTGGACTGGACCTTAACCCAGTGTTCCTGGTGACTAGACTCTTTATCACCAGCTTTTCTGCATCTCCAGTTTGCAGCAGATTGTGGGACTTCTCAAAGTAAATCTTATTCTATTTTAACGGTTCTATTTCTCTGGTGAATTGAAATGCACGTAAGGCCATCAGCTTTACTAGCTAACTGAAATAACTGCCTTCACTTTTAACTCATGGAGCAGCTTAAGACAATAGTCATGTGTACCTTACCTGGCAGGTTTTTTCCTTAACAGAATCCAAATTTTGTTTAGTAGATACTTAGCTTTTGTCCCTATTCTCAAGGATGAGTATTTGTTTGGATGTGTTTCAGACAGGATCTTTCTGTGTATATTCTGCTAGGAATTAAACCCAGGTTTTCCATGTGTCCCTTCACCTGCCAAGCTGCGGTGTTCAGTGTGACCTACTGTAGCTGTGCCTCTCAGATCCATCTTGATGTAAATAAACCAGCAGCTCTCAATTGGGACACTCAGGAAACCCTAGAGGGATTTTTAAGTTATCAGAATGCTTTGAGAAACAGTACAGGCATTTAGAGAGTGAGGACCAAGAAAAAATGCTAAATCTTTCAACCACAAAACAATCCTTCATAATGAAGAATTATATCCCACAGTGTTCCCATTAAATGTTTATGTGGTCAAAAAGTTGAACCTAGAATTTATTTTTCATATGAATCTCAATAACCTTTTACACAAGTGTCAATCGACAGATTTTCTAGGAATGTAATTGTTGTCCAAAGACTTTCTTCACATTAGAGTATTATTTTGAAAATAACTCAATTTCACTTCCGAATATTAAAAATATATAAAAAGGCATTATGTCTGATGATCAAAGTCCTTCCTGACAGACTCCTTTAAGACATGACAGTAATCCATGACACATGAGAAATCTGTAGGAGACTTGGGAGGTAAGAAAACTCTCAATACTTAATGACATTGTGTAACAACTGAAACTCAATTAGAGAATTCAGAACCCAATACACAAAGATGGAAGAGAAAAAATAGGAACAGAATTTGGGTTCTTGTTGTTTTTGGCCTACAAAAAGATACATTTTAAAAAATATAAGTCAATTCTGGGTGGATTTTTTTTCTACTTAGAGCTGATGGCAGTCTGAACAGATTCATTTTCATGCTAGGTAGAGATCTAGACTTTGAAGACTCCAAATCTGTTTCTGGTGGGGGACCCCTTATAATTAGACTTGCCTAGGCTAACATTACTTATTACTTCCAAATCTTGAATTTCCCTGTATTTTTTTTTTTTTACCAGGGTTAGAAATTCCAGTTATTTGTTCCTTGGAAGATCCCACAAGTCGGAGTCATATATGTCATTCTTAAAGTTAAACCACAGGGTAGGGCCTCAACTCTCAAAAATGAGATTAAGATATTTTTCATATTTATTTTTTAAAAAAGTCCAGAATGGATCAAAAAGAACAATCAGGATGTATGTGCAAGGTATAGGCCAGAAGGTAACTAGAAAAGTACACCTTAGGAAAGTTAAGGAGCCTCTTTACTACCTTGTTTTAAACACTGTACCTAACATAAATAGCTAGCTTAATTTTCCACTGATCCAGCTTCCACCTATAACCATGGCACAGCTGGTTTGCCTTGCAAGGCCTCAGCGGAAGGAACCCATGTCTAACAGGCCAGTATAGCAGTAGGTAATTAACTAGAAGGATCACATCCCCCATACAGTCTCATGGCTATTTTGTGTGTGAGAAGGTTTCACCCCTTGAAAATATGGCCACTTCAGCGCAAAGCAATGTTAATGATCAATAATCATCCATACCCTCGTTTTACATGCAACTGAATAATGACAGGCTGGGGACAGATCATTGTGAGCCTTGTACTGTTTGGAATCACTGCCCATTAAATGATCATTAGCTGCTGATAACTACATTTACATATTAAGGAAATTACATATAGAATACTGCAAAAACACAGTAAAAAGATGAAGTCGGCCCATTTTTGCTCAGGAAGTTCCTTCACTCCCAAGCTTCATACTATGTTGTCCAAATTTACAGATACTATTACTGTTTTTCTTCCTTTTGATCTTCCTTTTGTTCCCCAGTACCAGAACTTCCAGAGCCTTCTCGCTCAGATGCCATCTGTTAAGAAAAAATTTGAAAGCCATGATTTAATGTTAGGGCATGATGAACTCCAAAACAAAGGAGTCACATACCCCTAATCCTTCTACACTATTGGTGGTTTTGGTGATTCTTTATACTCCTGCCTCTATCCCCCAAGTTAAGGTGGCAGGAAAGGTTATTTCTAATTCCAACACCCACTCTCAATTCCATAAATAATTATGGAGGGAGCCACCAGTGACAGTAATCTAAAGTAGTAACATCAAGATCAAGTTAGGACCAAAACATCTTTTAGCCCCTTTACCTTTTTGTATGCCATTTCAAAGAGCTTCAGTGATGCCTGCTGAAGGGAGGATGCCGCCTGCCTTATGTTTTCCCCTGTTTCACTGTCTTTTCGAGCCAGGAGCTCCCTCATTTTGGAAATCTCTTCTTTCAGCTTGTTGCACTTAAAAAAACCACAAATAAAACCTTACTTTTCCAAGTTCTTTTGTCCCACTACATGCACCAGTAATATTGAGGGGGAAAAAAAAATAAACAAAAAGAAAAACCCAACTCCCCCAAACTGCCCCAAACAAGATCAAAAGAAAAAATAAACTTCACGGACACTGGTGAATGCCTCCCACTTCTCAAGTTATTTAAGAAAATAAAAAACCCTCTAACCTCATCTGCAGGCAATTGGTCCTTGAATTCTTCCATCTTGGTTTCAGTGTCATGAATGATTCCTTCAGCCATATTAACTGCTTCAACTCGTTCCTTAGAAAAATTAAAAGTTTAATGGAGACTTCCTGATTGACAAGTTAATAAAATGTCCATATGAGCAATACAATCTGGCTACATAAATTATAGAACAAAAATAGAGCTGGGTTCTATAATACAAGAGTTCTAATAAAAGACTAAAAAAGATAAAAGACCGACACTATATACATAAATTATAAGCAAAGGTGAAATATTAGGGGCAAAATAAAAATGTAAGATCAATGAAATGTCCCAATTCCCACTGTTAAACCTTAGACTTTACTAACGCGAGAAAGCATAATATGGGGCCAGCACGTGGCATAGTGGTTAAAGTGCTGGACTCCCAAATGACTGATCATGGTTTGATCCCCAGACCTGGTGGCTTTCTCACTTTCTCTGGTCAAATTAAAACTGAATAAAGTTCGATAAAATAATTCTTAAAAACAAACAAAATGAAATACATACTCTTCCTCCCCCCCCAAAGTGTAATGTAATCACCTTCTTTCGCCGGTCTTCTTCGGCATACTTCTCTGCATTTTTAACCATATTTTCAATATCATCTTTGCTTAATCCACCAGAAGACTGTATTACAACTGTAGTATAAAAGAAGGTATCTCATTAATTCCCAGGCAGTATTACGTGCTGGTTTGTTCTCTATCACATTAAGTATTCCACTTTATAGATTTAAGTTATTAAAAAAAAAAGAGTAACCCTTATTGTCCTATAAGAAGCAAAAGGAAATCAAGGGTCTGAAATATACAGACACCAACTAACCTGCCTATCAAATCTTCATTAATTCAGAGGCTCTGAGGCTTGCCTTTTTTTCTTCTTTTTTGAATAAATACTAAACTTTTAAAATTAAATCTGGTAACTAAGGAGAAAAGAGTGAAGAGGGCTTATCCATTATATTCTCCCAAGGGTTGTAGCAAATGACACTCAAAATAACACGGGCCCATTTCCCAACAGAGGTCCCTCTTCTCACTCGAACAAATAAACAAGGACTTACTCTGCTGCTCACGTCCTGTGCCCTTATCCTTAGCAGAAACATGTACAATCCCATTGGCATCAATGTCAAATGTAACTTCAATCTGAGGAACTCCACGAGGGGCTGGGGGAATTCCAATCTAAAATAAATGATCAGATGTCTAGAATAAACTTTTCTCTTTAAAAGGTTCAGGCTATTAATAAGTCTATACAGTCTTGGTGAACCAACAAGTGACTTTGTTCCTGATAGGCACAAGTGATACCTGCACTTAATAAACAAAAACACAAGTGGTATAGTGGTTAAGGCTGCTGGATTCCACATGTTCAACTGCATGATTCAAGTTCTAGACTGAGCAGCTTAAGAAACATGCCAGAGGGAACCAGCAATGGCATGGTAGTTAAGGTGCTGGATACTCCCATATGGCTGACCACGGTTCGAGTCCTGGACCTGGTGGCTTGCTTTCTCACTTTCCCTCTATGTGTCTCTTGCTGGTCAAATTAAAATAAATGAATAAATAATTCTTAAAAAACAAACCAAAAAAACATGCCAGAAGCATGTGCTTGTGTGCCTGAGATTCCAAAAGGAGGAAAGAGATGGAGGAGGGACTGTGCTTGACCATTCCCATAAGGGGACACTTTCTTTTCCTTGCCCTGTCTGTTGTGCACATGCACCCTCTAGCAAAAACAAAACAAAACAAAACCAAAAACAATCAAACAAACAAACAAAAAACAAAGAACAACGACAACAACACACACACACACCCTGAGGCCATAGGTATCTGACCCTAGAATCAGTCCATGTTAAGTCAGAAGTTTATATGATTTTAAGGACTGGAACACATTGCCTATCTTTACAGGAAAGAGACAGGAACAAAATATTTAGGATTCATAGTACCTACCAAAGTAAACTGTCCAAGAAGTTTGTTGTCACCAGCCATCTCTCTCTCACCCTGACACACTTTAATCTCCACTTGAGTCTGTCCATCGGCAGCAGTAGAAAACACCTAGAAGAGTAAGAAAACTTCCTTGGTTACTTTTATATAGAAGGACAAAGAAGGAATTCACATACCACTGTTAGAAGGGTCCTAACGTCTTCTCAGGGAATAGGAGAACTAGTATAGCAAAAAGACCCACCCTAGCTATTGATTAAGTAATGCACCGTACCAAGTTGCAGCATTAGTACAGAAAGCTTCAAGATAAGGAGCTAAAATAGTGAAACATTCTGGAGAAATAGATCAAAGACATGTAGGGACAGTACATGTACTCAGCAGAAGTCACCACACCCTCCTCAGTGTGGTATGTTGACAAATATATCACTGTGCAAATACAGCAATAGTCATAGTTTTTCAGAGTAGCAGCAGGGAAAGAGATCTAAGTACTTTTCACAGGGTCTTGCTGTACTTGATCCTCCTGCCCTCTCCTCCCTATTAGGATTACAGATGTGTGTGACCATGACCAGTGTGTTCAGACAGGCATGGGAACCAAACCTGGACCTCCCATGCAACCTGTACCCACCCAAGTAGTGGTGCTATCAATGTGCCACAACAGCTGAACCAAACATAACTCTTAATCCAAGACCAAGCCAAATCCAAATAGCCCTGCTTGCCATCAGTACTCTCACTATTCACCTATCAGCCAAGTATATTCCCTTAATCTTGGTCAGGCTGTTCTTTTCGCTGCTTTTGAAAACAGAAGACAACAGGGAATTCAGCCCCAAACATTAGGATTTCTTTTAACTGTTAATCTTGTGAAGGAGAGACTATTGATGCCTGCTGTACAATCACCACTGCTATTGATAGATGACTGTAAGATCTTTCCAAGAACAGAAAAAAGAACAAACAGTGACATTCTCATCACCCACAGCCAACTAGCCTAGACTGCAGAAAAAAATTGCGAAATTCTCTAGGAAAAGCTTATAGGGCCCAGCTAATTGGCATGGTGGCTGCTGCATTCCACATGGCCAACAGCATGGTGTGAATCCCAAACCTAGAGGCCTGAAAAAGACAACAGATGCATGTGCGTGCATGCTCCAAACCCCAAGAGAACAGAGAAGGGATTGTGATATGGCCATTTTCCCTAGGGATAGCCACCCCATCTCCAGCCAGCTCACATGCCTGTAGCAAATTTTAAAAAAGGCTTACAGAAGTAGCTGCAATCACATCCTTCACAGAAACGAATACCCTGTGACAAGATACAGAGGGATGGCACTTACCTGACTTTTCTTGGTTGGAATAGTGGTGTTTCTGTTGATAAGTTTGGTAAAGACACCTCCAAGAGTCTCAATACCCAAAGACAGGGGAGTGACATCCAGGATCAATACATCTGTGACATCACCAGCCAACACACCTCCCTGAATGGCAGCACCAATGGCTACAGCCTCATCAGGATTGACAGCTTTACTTGGGGCTCTGCCAAAAAGATCCTGCACAGCTGAACCTGAACATTAAGGAGAAATAATCTGTCACCCAACACTCAGAGCAACTGCTTGAGAATAGGAGAGTGCACATGTATGTTTAATGATCTAGTTAAATCACAAGATAAAGAAGGGGACTAAATGGAGCCAGCAGATGGCATACTGGTTACATATCGCTAGATTCCCACACGGCAGACTGTGGTTTGAGTCCTGGACCTGGTGACTTGAAACTCACACTGGGCCCATGTGAGATGTGCCCAAAATCCTGAGAGGGGAACGGAGAAGGGATTGTGGCATGGCCACCCCCCCTCAGGGGGTGATTTCTCACTTTCCCTCTGTTTGTCTCTCTGGTCAGCACTCACACCCTAAGGCAAAAATTTACTTTTATTTTTTTTTTAAGAGATTTCTTCTGCTACAGGGTGTGTGTGCTGGAAAGAGAAAAACAGAGAATTCACCCCCAGGGGGAATGGCCATGCCACAATCCCTTCTCTTCCATTTCCCTCTCAGGATTCTGGGCATGCATGCACATACATCCGGTGAGTTTTAAGTTCTGGGTCTGGGACTCAAATTGCAGTCAACTACATGGGAGTTCAGCAACATAATCACTATGCCATCTGCTGATCCCAGGCAATAACTTCTTTTTTCCCTTAAAAAAAAAGGGGGGGTGGTGGGACTAAGCTGGTTGACTTTTATTATCTAGTCTTCCACACTACACGCAACATATCATTTGAAACAGGGCACAGAGCCATGTGACTTAGAAACTTTGTACCCCAATTCCTTGTCTACATTATCAAAAGATTAATTTTAAGGAAGCCAGTGGGACCAGTAGATGGCATGATGGTTACATCACTGGATTCCCAAATGGTTGATTGCGGTTTGAGTCCCAGATCCAGTGGCTTAAAACTCACACCGGCGCGTGTGCATGTGAGAAGGGATTGGGGCGAGAAGGGACTGCGGAGTGGCCATCCTCTCTGGGGTGTGATTTCTTGTTTTCTGTCTCTCTCTCTCTCTGGTGACTACATGCACACAATAGCAAAAACTTCTCTACAAAAATAAATAAAGAGGAATCCATAGGATTGCTAATGTGAGGCATTCTTCCCTCCTGTTTATTTTTTCTAAAAACTAGTTTTTGAATAGTGGCCAGGCTAGTTTGTTAACATAAATATTTCCTCCTGGCTAGACTTTTCACCCAACCCTAAATTCTTCCTGTGTGTATTTCCCTAAACATACTTCAAAAGAAAAATTAGGGGGACCAGCAGTTCTGTGTCTTCCTGGTGAGGGCACACACCCTATAGCAAAAACCTCTCCAAAAAAAGAAAAGAAAAATTAGGGGGACCAGCAGTTCTGTGTCTTCCTGGTGAGGGCACACACCCTATAGCAAAAACCTCTCCAAAAAAAGAAAAGAAAAATTAGGGGGACCAGCAGTTCTGTGTCTTCCTGGTGAGGGCACACACCCTATAGCAAAAACCTCTCCAAAAAAAGAAAAGAAAAATTAGGGGGACCAGCAGTTCTGTGTCTTCCTGGTGAGGGCACACACCCTATAGCAAAAACCTCTCCAAAAAAAGAAAAGAAAAATTAGGGGGACCAGCAGTTCTGTGTCTTCCTGGTGAGGGCACACACCCTATAGCAAAAACCTCTCCAAAAAAAGAAAAGAAAAATTAGGGGGACCAGCAGTTCTGTGTCTTCCTGGTGAGGGCACACACCCTATAGCAAAAACCTCTCCAAAAAAAGAAAAGAAAAATTAGGGGGACCAGCAGTTCTGTGTCTTCCTGGTGAGGGCACACACCCTATAGCAAAAACCTCTCCAAAAAAAGAAAAGAAAAATTAGGGGGACCAGCAGTTCTGTGTCTTCCTGGTGAGGGCACACACCCTATAGCAAAAACCTCTCCAAAAAAAGAAAAGAAAAATTAGGGGGACCAGCAGTTCTGTGTCTTCCTGGTGAGGGCACACACCCTATAGCAAAAACCTCTCCAAAAAAAGAAAAGAAAAATTAGGGGGACCAGCAGTTCTGTGTCTTCCTGGTGAGGGCACACACCCTATAGCAAAAACCTCTCCAAAAAAAGAAAAGAAAAATTAGGGGGACCAGCAGTTCTGTGTCTTCCTGGTGAGGGCACACACCCTATAGCAAAAACCTCTCCAAAAAAAGAAAAGAAAAATTAGGGGGACCAGCAGTTCTGTGTCTTCCTGGTGAGGGCACACACCCTATAGCAAAAACCTCTCCAAAAAAAGAAAAGAAAAATTAGGGGGACCAGCAGTTCTGTGTCTTCCTGGTGAGGGCACACACCCTATAGCAAAAACCTCTCCAAAAAAAGAAAAGAAAAATTAGGGGGACCAGCAGTTCTGTGTCTTCCTGGTGAGGGCACACACCCTATAGCAAAAACCTCTCCAAAAAAAGAAAAGAAAAATTAGGGGGACCAGCAGTTCTGTGTCTTCCTGGTGAGGGCACACACCCTATAGCAAAAACCTCTCCAAAAAAAGAAAAGAAAAATTAGGGGGACCAGCAGTTCTGTGTCTTCCTGGTGAGGGCACACACCCTATAGCAAAAACCTCTCCAAAAAAAGAAAAGAAAAATTAGGGGGACCAGCAGTTCTGTGTCTTCCTGGTGAGGGCACACACCCTATAGCAAAAACCTCTCCAAAAAAAGAAAAGAAAAATTAGGGAAATTACAAGGTAACGAACTCAGGCCCAAGATAGTTCTATTCAGATTACCAGGGAGGAACTGTACTTTCAACAGGTCTGTGCTCAGTCATTAAGTCTTCTACACATCTGTGCTTTTCAGAATGATGTGTTGATGAATAAAATGCATCATTGCACAAATCTTTGTTGAAGAAACATTAAAGGTAAAAACCTCCCAGGCATTGGGGCTGGCAGGTGGCGTAGTGGTTAAGGTGCTGGACTCCCACATGGCAGACTGCAGCTTTGAGTCCCAGACCTGGCAGCTTGCTTTCTCACTTTCCCTTTCTGTCTGTCTCTGGTCAAATTAAAAAAAATAATAATAGGGACCAACAGTTAGCATAATGGCTATGTTGCTCGACTCCCATGTAGTCGACTGTGGTTCGAGTCCCAGACCCGGTGGCTTAAACTCACACCGGACGCGCGTTGTGTGCGTGCCCAAGATCCCCATAGGAGAATGGAAGAGAAGGGATTGCAGCATGACCTTCCCCTCCTGGGGGGCGATTTCTCGCTTTCTGTCTCTTTGTCTGTCTGGCAAGCGCACGCATCCTATAGCAAAAAACTCTCCCCCAAAAAGAAAAACAAACCTCCCAGTCACTAGACTGAAAAAACACATGCCCAACAGCCAAAGATTTTAGCTGTGAATTTGAACTTAAGTTTGTTCCTAAAAATTCCACAAAACTGACTGACTTTTAAGATCTATCTTGCTACCCCCTCCAAAAGATATTCTGCACCTAACAATTCCCCTCTGCTACACTTTAACTCTTTATTGAGGATACAATCTTATCCTTTCAGATTACCCTGGCAGAATGGGCCACATTTCAGGTCCATACACAACATAAGCTACCTGTCCCAAGAATACATTATGTGCTTGCCCCCTCTTCTTTCCACAAGAATAATTCCATGGACCCATTACCTTAGGCATCCTAGTCATGCCACCAACAAGAATCACTTCTCCTATGTCACTCTTGCTGACTTCTGCATCTTGCATAGCTTTCTGGCATGGAGCAATAGTCCTCCTGATTAGGTCAGTGACAATCCCCTCAAACTGAGCCCGAGTCAGCTTCATATTCAAATGTTTGGGTCCAGAAGCATCCATTGTAAGATAAGGCAAATTTATGTCGGTCTGCAAAGTAAATGTTTAATTTTTTGTCATTAGAGAGACCAATGGTGGTTAAGTTTCTTCATTATTTCGATTAAAATAAGACTGAATCTCATGACAGAAGACCTTAATAGCCACAGGGTCAGACCTAGTTTAATTTACAGCTACTAATAATACTAACTCTTTAAAATTCGATTTCTTTTTCCCTCAGAGACAAACACTATAGAATCCATTTTAATTACCAACAATGAAGAGTGGGGTAGGAAAGTAGGAAAAAACTATTTGGGAGATTAACTGGATTAACTGTTCTGCCACTGCACATTTCTATGGGTCATACTACTGTTTCTTTCACTTTTTTTTTAATCTTAAAAAAAAAAAAAAAAAAAAGAAATCATGATACAGCATGTGTGTATGCAGATGCCTGAGAGAAACTGAAATGAACAACCTTCATAGGGTCTGGTCACATCACTATTCTCTTCCTTCAGTTGCCCCACCCATGTGGTCTTGGGCAGTAGCACACATGCCAGCATGTTTCAGGCTGACTGGACCAGAGATTTGAATCATAGTCACCCTTGTGGGAGGTGACTTCCCTTGAGTAGTTCATTGCTATGCCAAAGAACTGGCCCCACTTTTATTTCTTTCTTAGAAGAGACAGACAGAGAAGCACCCGTAAGGATCTAAAACTAGCCCTCACTAGAAGTGGAATTTTAATTTTCTATAGGTGGATACCATATTTACACAGTTCTACACGATAAAAGCTAATGGTCGGGGCCCACATGTGGCATGGTGGTTAAGGTGCTGGACTCCGACATGGCCAACCACAGTTTGAATTCTGGACCTGGAGGGCTTGCTTTCTCACTTTCCCTTTCTTTCTCTTTCTCTGGAAACAAAAGTTGGGGGGGATGGGGACCAGCAGGTGGCATGGTGGTTAAGGCACTAGACGCTCCCACATGGTCAACCACAGTTTGAGTCCCGGATCTGGTGGCTTGCTTTCTCACTTTCTTGTCTTGCTCTGTGTCTCTCTCTGGTCAAATTAAAATAAATGAATGAATTAAAAAAAAAAAATGTTGGGGATAGGACAAGCAGATGGTGGTATGGTTATGTCACTGGACTCTCACGTAGTCAACTGTGGTTCAAGTCCTGGACAGAGACTTAAAACTCATGCTGAGCACATGCCCCAAATCCCGAGGAGAATGGAGAAGAAAATGCCATGTGGCCATCCCCCCCCCCCGAGGTGATTTCTCACTTTCTATCTGCTGAGCATATGCGCTGTTAACAAAAACCTCTCATAAATAAAGAAAGGAAGAAAGAAAGAAAGTTAAAAAGTTGAGACAGCAGGTGGTGTAATGATTACATTACTGGACTTCTATGTAGTTCACTGCAGTTCATGTCCTGGACCCAGTGGCTTAAAACTCAACACTTGGGGGACCAGCAGTTAATGTAATGGCTATGTCGCTGGCCTCCCATGTAGTCAACTGCGGTTCTGAGTCCCAAACCTGGTGGCTTAAACTCACACCAGGCGCGTGTGCATGCATACCTCAGATCCCGAGAAGAGAATGGAGAAGGGATTGCGGTGTGGCCATCCCCCCTGGGGGGTGATTTCTCGCTTTCTGTCTCTCTGGCTAGCGCACATGCCCTATAGCAAAAACCTCTCCAAAAAAAGAAAAAAACCAACACTTAGCATGTGGCCATCCCCTTTGGGGGGGGTGAATTCTCATTTTCTGTTTATCTCCGTCTCTCCAGTGAGCGCATATGCCCTACAGCAAAAATCTCTCAAATAAAATAAAATAAAGTAGTCCGAGAAATTCCAAATCTCATACTCTCAGCCCTCTATTATGTACTGTAGTGCCTACCTCCTTCTTGAATCTAACCACCTCTCAGTCGTACTCCGGTCTAAGTAGCTACTCTCATACTAGACTAGCTGGTTACAGCTAATGTCTTCCCACATGCATTCAGACTACCCTCTGCCAAAAATTTTCTATTCCATCCTAGCCAGAGAGCTTTTCATAAATCAAAACCTGATCATTTTATCTCCTACTTAACTCCTCTGAGATTTGTTCCACTTAGGATAGACACCAAATCTGAAATATACAGCCTTATTTTTTATGCTTATCAATTCTCTCACATTTGAATTCAGTCACTCTGGCCTTTTCTTTTATGCCCTAGTGCCTTATACATGAACAGACTTCCTAAAGTTCATGGAGGGCTGGCCCTGGGCCCCGGGGTTAAGGGAGCCAGATCCCATGGGGCTGACCACGTGGTCCAGATCCCAGTCCCAACGGCTTGAAAAACATATTAGGCATTTGTGGACATGTGCCCCAAATCCCTACAGGACAGAGAAGGAACTACAGCTTGACCAGGCCCCATTAAGCCCCCCTCACCACCCTCATGCTAACACATGTGCCCTCTGACTGAAAAAAACACAACATACATACACATATATTTTCAAGGTGGTTCATGGGAAACTGGAATTAAAGTATGATTTAAATTTGGTGAGCAATAAAACAATCGAAATACAGGCAGTTTTTATACAATACACTTTTTCCATGAACTTACTGCAGACCATGCATATTGTCTCTCATCACTCTGTCCTTTCTTTTTTAACTGAAGTTTCTTTCATGAGAAAGAAATAGAACCCCCAAACAGGGTCCTCACAGAGATCTTCCCCTAGCCCCAGCCAGGAACATAGGCATGTGCCCTATGTGTATACAGAAGAACACTCTGGGACCCTGTCCTGGGACTTGGGACTCTCCCATGCAGCTCTAGCAATGCAGTGTTGTGTCAGCATGGTTAGCCTTTTATTAAAGCTTCCTTATTTAATATTCTTCCATGAAAGGACGGTGGAGCTGAACACCATTAGCTTTTACAGCACTTCTGGTTTCAGGTTTCATAGCTATTAATATTCTAATTAATGTCCATCTTCCCAAACCATACTATAAACTACGCAAGAGTAATACCATTTCTAGAAATATATCCCACAGATTTACAAGCACTTAATATCCAAACATACAAAGATGCTCAACACAATCTTACTGTAATAGCTAAATGCTAAAACTCCATATGCCTACCAATAGCAAACAGCCACACTAAAATCAACCTCTTCCACACTTTCCCATTGCAAACTGACAAATCTCTGGGATGAACTGCAAGCCGTCTTCTAGTAGTCCCAGGTATTTGTTTTTGTTTGTTTGTTTGTTTTGTTTTAAAATTCATAAGAGGGCACATGTGAGAGAGGGATGGGCATTGCCAGAGGATCTGGTCATGCTGTGGTCCTATTCCAGTCCATCAGATCCTGGTACTGATGCACAGACGTGGCATTATTTAGGCCACCAGGCCAAGACACATACTGCAGTCATCATGTGAGATATAGCTTCTCCTAAATAGCATGTTACTCCTAAGCCACATGGTCAGCCCCAGTGCACATATTTCAGCCTCAATCCTAACCATTATACTGCAAATGATCACACTCTGTATGATAAAAGGGACAAAAGACCACGAGCAACGAATACACTAGCAATGAGCATGTACTATTGTCACTCCTCATAGTCACTTAAGCAAACAAAAAAAATCAAACCAGGTTTTACTGAAGGTTAACTGGCAGGAACCATCTTATCAACAAAGTGACAGCTGATAAATACCTCTTTCCTGTGAGTAATCAAACAAATCACTAAAGTCATCACAGGCCAATTCCTCCTGTCACCTAAGAATCTACAAATAGATGTCCTGGTTTCCATCTTGGTAGGTCTCTAACCCAAATCCAACACAGTTTATACAATTCTATTCTTGGTTAAGTGAAGTAGAGCTTCACCTCAAAACTACAACCAAACAAGCTGACACAACTTTGATGCTAGAGAAACTTACACAGGTAGGTATATATCTCATACCTATCTGAGCCAGGTTTCTCAGTTTATTTTTTAACCTGAGCCAGACTTCTCAGTTCATTTCTTGGTCTGGTGACGCAAATTACTAAGTGAGAAGAGACCACTCAATTCACAAGGAGAGGGGTACCAAGTTAAGTGCAAATAGATTTACCAAGCTAAAAATCCTAACCTCACACAATCCCTTAGATTTAAAAATCAATGTCTTAAAAAGCAAACGAGCCACTGTCATCCAGATCTTAGGCAATTATTATTTGCCTCTAGTATACATAACCTGATTTGTGTGGACAAAAAGAATTCAAGGATTGGCTAGGAGGTGGCATGGTGGTTAAGGGTGCTGGACTCCCACATGGCTGACCACAGTTCGGTTCCTGGCAGCCTGTTTTCTTTCTTTCCCTCTCTCTTGCCTGCTCTGCCCTTCTCTGGTCAAACTAAAAAAAGTTAAATAAAACAATTCCTTCAAAAAAAAAAGAAAAAAGGATGGTGATAAAACACAATGCTCTGTGAGCAGACCCATATGCAGGCTGACTAAGGCTGGAAGTGAACTGCACTATCAATACCTCATTTGTGGTATTCTCTCTCTCCCCAACTCATTGAATAAAGTGCAAGAAAGGGTTGGGGGGAATGAAATGGTACAGCACTAATATAAGGCTCAACTCTCAAATAAAATAAAATAAAGTAGTCCGAGAAATTCCAAATCTCATACTCTCAGCCCTCTATTATGTACTGTAGTGCCTACCTCCTTCTTGAATCTAACAACCTCTCAGTCGTATTCATACTAGACTAGCTGGTTACAGCTAATGTCTTCCCACATGCATTCAGACTACCCTCTGCCAAAAATTTTCTATTCCCTCCTAGCCAGAGAACTTTTCATAACTTAACACCGATCATTTTATCTCCTACTTAACTCCTCTGAGATTTGTTCCACTTAGGATAGACACCAAATCTGAAATATACAGCCTTATTTTTTATGCTTATCAATTCTCTCACATTTGAATTCAGTCACTCTGGCCTTTTCTTTTATGCCCTAGTGCCTTATACATGAACAGACTTCCTAAAGTTCATGGAGGGCTGGCCCTGGGCCCCGGGGTTAAGGGAGCCAGATCCCATGGGGCTGACCACGTGGTCCAGATCCCAGTCCCAACGGCTTGAAAAACATATTAGGCATTTGTGGACATGTGCCCCAAATCCCTACAGGACAGAGAAGGAACTACAGCTTGACCAGGCCCCATTAAGCCCCCCTCACCACCCTCATGCTAACACATGTGCCCTCTGACTGAAAAAAACACAACATACATACACATATATTTTCAAGGTGGTTCGTGGGAAACTGGAATTAAAGTATGATTTAAATTTGGTGAGCAATAAAACAATCGAAATACAGGCAGTTTTTATACAATACACTTTTTCCATGAACTTACTGCAGACCATGCATATTGTCTCTCATCACTCTGTCCTTTCTTTTTTAACTGAAGTTTCTTTCATGAGAAAGAAATAGAACCCCCAAACAGGGTCCTCACAGAGATCTTCCCCTAGCCCCAGCCAGGAACATAGGCATGTGCCCTATGTGTATACAGAAGAACACTCTGGGACCCTGTCCTGGGACTTTGGACTCTCCCATGCAGCTCTAGCAATGCAGTGTTGTGTCAGCATGGTTAGCCTTTTATTAAAGCTTCCTTATTTAATATTCTTCCATGAAAGGACGGTGGAGCTGAACACCATTAGCTTTTACAGCACTTCTGGTTTCAGGTTTCATAGCTATTAATATTCTAATTAATGTCCATCTTCCCAAACCATACTATAAACTACGCAAGAGTAATACCATTTCTAGAAATATATCCCACAGATTTACAAGCACTTAATATCCAAACATACAAAGATGCTCAACACAATCTTACTGTAATAGCTAAATGCTAAAACTCCATATGCCTACCAATAGCAAACAGCCACACTAAAATCAACCTCTTCCACACTTTCCCATTGCAAACTGACAAATCTCTGGGATGAACTGCAAGCCGTCTTCTAGTAGTCCCAGGTATTTGTTTTTGTTTGTTTGTTTGTTTTGTTTTAAAATTCATAAGAGGGCACATGTGAGAGAGGGATGGGCATTGCCAGAGGATCTGGTCATGCTGTGGTCCTATTCCAGTCCATCAGATCCTGGTACTGATGCACAGACGTGGCATTATTTAGGCCACCAGGCCAAGACACATACTGCAGTCATCATGTGAGATATAGCTTCTCCTAAATAGCATGTTACTCCTAAGCCACATGGTCAGCCCCAGTGCACATATTTCAGCCTCAATCCTAACCATTATACTGCAAATGATCACACTCTGTATGATAAAAGGGACAAAAGACCACGAGCAACGAATACACTAGCAATGAGCATGTACTATTGTCACTCCTCATAGTCACTTAAGCAAACAAAAAAAATCAAACCAGGTTTTACTGAAGGTTAACTGGCAGGAACCATCTTATCAACAAAGTGACAGCTGATAAATACCTCTTTCCTGTGAGTAATCAAACAAATCACTAAAGTCATCACAGGCCAATTCCTCCTGTCACCTAAGAATCTACAAATAGATGTCCTGGTTTCCATCTTGGTAGGTCTCTAACCCAAATCCAACACAGTTTATACAATTCTATTCTTGGTTAAGTGAAGTAGAGCTTCACCTCAAAACTACAACCAAACAAGCTGACACAACTTTGATGCTAGAGAAACTTACACAGGTAGGTATATATCTCATACCTATCTGAGCCAGGTTTCTCAGTTTATTTTTTAACCTGAGCCAGACTTCTCAGTTCATTTCTTGGTCTGGTGACGCAAATTACTAAGTGAGAAGAGACCACTCAATTCACAAGGAGAGGGGTACCAAGTTAAGTGCAAATAGATTTACCAAGCTAAAAATCCTAACCTCACACAATCCCTTAGATTTAAAAATCAATGTCTTAAAAAGCAAACGAGCCACTGTCATCCAGATCTTAGGCAATTATTATTTGCCTCTAGTATACATAACCTGATTTGTGTGGACAAAAAGAATTCAAGGATTGGCTAGGAGGTGGCATGGTGGTTAAGGGTGCTGGACTCCCACATGGCTGACCACAGTTCGGTTCCTGGCAGCCTGTTTTCTTTCTTTCCCTCTCTCTTGCCTGCTCTGCCCTTCTCTGGTCAAACTAAAAAAAGTTAAATAAAACAATTCCTTCAAAAAAAAAAGAAAAAAGGATGGTGATAAAACACAATGCTCTGTGAGCAGACCCATATGCAGGCTGACTAAGGCTGGAAGTGAACTGCACTATCAATACCTCATTTGTGGTATTCTCTCTCTCCCCAACTCATTGAATAAAGTGCAAGAAAGGGTTGGGGGGAATGAAATGGTACAGCACTAATATAAGGCTCAAGAGGTCAGATCCCACATGGCAACTGCAGTTAGAATGTCCAGCTCAGTCAGCCTAAAACACATTGGCCATACACACGTATGCCCAAGAGCAAATGGACTAGAAGACTAGAAGAAATGCATCTGAGTATGACCAAACCTTTTGAACAAATGGAACTGTGTTGCTTCTTTGTTCATGGCAAAGATATTTAACAATAAGAAAACTATAGAAGCCCAGTTTAACTGACATTAGAATACACTATTTAAATAAATTCAAGCTGAAAACATCCAGGATTGCTAAAATTTTCCATGTCTCACCTGAACAGAAGAGGAGAGTTCACACTTTGCCTTCTCAGCAGCTTCACGAACCCTCTGAAGGGCCATGTTGTCTTTGGTCAAATCTACCCCTGTCTACAAAATAAAGACACAGAACACCAGCATTAGTGAAATAATGAATAATAGTTTAAACTAGAGTAATAAAACAAAACACAAAACAGTCCTATCTTTGTAAGTACAAATGACAAAGAACTGACTTTCAGTTCTTTCCAGCCCTAGGATTCTAGCTCAAAAGAGTTCCTGAAGACCCTCTTGCCAACACTGTAATAAATGCTACACACTTAATTATGTCTCATCTCTTCCAATCTGTAGCTTCACTGACCAGAATAGTTCAGTCCATCCACAAACCTGAAATGCAGTTACTCCAGTTCTCTAAGGGAAAAAAAAGCTGTAAACAATGCAAAGAAAACTATGAATAATGAAATGATCAGTATCCCACCATCTACATATTAATCAGAGTAACTAACCTCTCTCTTGAACTCTTTCACAATGTGTTGTAGCAAGGCTTGGTCAAAGTCTTCGCCACCTAAGAAAGTGTCCCCATTGGTAGATTTCACCTCAAATACCCCTTTCTGAATTTCCAGGATAGAAATATCAAACGTTCCACCACCTAAGTCATATACAGCAATGCTAGAAAGAAAAAAGAAAAAGGCTTGAGAACAAAGCCTAACCACTAGGGTATAAATTTCAACAGCCAAATGAAGATAAACTATTTTTCTATCATATAATAATTATGAAAATTGGGTAACTGCAAAAGTGACATGTTGGTTAACATGTAATCTTAACAGGTAACACCATGAACACAGTTGAAATAAAACTCAATTATTAAAAATCAATAAAACAGGGACCAGCAGTTGGCCTAATGGCTGTATCAATGGACTCCCATGTAGTAGACCATGACCCGGTGGCTTAAACTCATGCTGGGTGCGGGTGCGTCCAAGATCCTGAGAGGAGAATGGAGAAGAGATTGCAGTGTGGCCATGCCTCAGGGGTGAAGGGTGGGGTGGGTGGGTGATTTCTTGTTTTCTGTCTCTGTCAAGTGCACATGCCCTATAGCAAAAACCTCTCAAAAAAAAAAAAAATCTACATATTCAAATGAATATTCTCAAACATGCATACTGAAGCAAAGAAAAATTACCACAACCCAAGGATAAATAAAGGCTTGGTCTTGAAATGAATGACAAACAAGCCTTGGGGATTAATGACAGTATATTTTTAATTCTAAGAACCAGGCTCAGGACCAGCAGGTGGCGTGGTGGTTAAGGTGATAGACTCCTACATGGCCTAGTACAGTTTGACTCCTGGACTTGGTGGCTTGAAACTCCAACCAATTGTGTCCATGCATATCCAAAATTCTGAGGGGAAAAGGGGATTGTGGTGTGGTCTACGGGGCAGACTTCTTACATCCAACCCCTTCTGGTGAATATACACGCCCTATGGCAAAAATCTAAAAGCAGAACTTAAAAAAAAAAAAAAAAAAAAGGCTCAGTCACTAAGAAATCAAGATAATGATTTAAGGTAATTCTCTTGGTTCAAGACCTCTGTTTAACATATCTGTAGAATTTACTCCATAAACTTACACTTTGTCTTCTGATTTGTCTAGACCATAAGCCAGAGCAGCAGCTGTGGGTTCGTTAATCACTCTAAGCACATTCAGTCCAGATATCTGCCCAGCATCCTTAGTAGCCTAAAAACAAAACAAAACAAAAAAAGCATTTTTCTATGGTTTGCTAATGGCATGAAGGTGACGGTTGCTAGATCCCACATGGCTGACTGTACAGTTTTAGTCCAGACCCAACAGCTTGAAAAACATTCTGGTATGTGTGTGTATGTGCCCCAAATCCTGTGAGAATGAAGAGATTAAAGCATGGCTATACTCCTTCAGTGGTAGTGCCTTTTCACTTTGCTTCCTTGTCTCCCTGGCAAGTGCACACACACAAAAGGGAAAATAAATAAATAAATAAATGTTTTCACCCTGTGTCCCAGGTACCATTACTTTCTTATTCATATGTTCATTTAATTTTTCAGATACAGCGTCTCACTATGTTCCCTAATTGGCCTCAAACTTTTAGTCCTACTACCTCAGCCTTCCAAGTAGCTAGGATTATAGGAAAATGTCACTGTGCCCAGCACAGGTACCATATAATTACACTTTGTGAAGAATGCTAATGGAGGACCAGCAGGTGGCATGGTGAATAATATGTTGGACTCCTACATGGCTGAATGTAGTTCGAGTCCTGGACCTGGTGCCTAGAAACTAATGCCAGGTGTACATGCATATCCAAAAACGAGAGAATGGAGATAGGATTGCGGCATGGTCATCTCCCTGGGATGTGATTTATTCTGTCTCTGTCTCTCTAGTGAGCCCAAACACTATAGCAATAATCTCTCTCCCCAAAAAAGAATGCTAATTGGAATCGGTCCCATAGCACATCAGTTCAAGCATTACACAAGAGCAGCTGGATCTCCCATGGCCAGCCAGGGTTCAAGTCCTGGACTGATGCCAACATGCCAGGTACACATTCACATGCTCCCAATCCTGAGGAAAAAATATTACAGAGACACCAGGCCCCACTAGGGGGGTACTTTATTCTTCACTCCCTCATGCACATACTCTGGTATTAAAAAACATAAACAAAAACTTAACCAATCTTACCTGTCTCTGTGAATCATTGAAATAAGCTGGGACTGTGATCACAGCATTTTTTGCTGTATGTCCCAAGTAATTTTCTGGAAAAGAATAAAAAAAGTGAAAATTCAATCATAGGACTGAAAAGAGAATGGAATGATTAACATAAGCCTGACAACCCACTGCATCCTCTTTTGCAACCAAAACATTTATCAACTTTTTAGCAAGTGACCTAACATGTAGACACACCACAGGAAAATGCTCCAATTTAATAATGGTTAAAACCTCGAATTCTTTTTTAAAGAATTATTTTATTTATCTTTATTTATTTATTTAACCAGAGAGGGACAGAGTGAGAGAGAAAGTGAGAAGGCAAGCCACCAGGTCCAGGACTTGAACCATGGTCAGCCATGCGGGAGTCCAGCGCCCCTAACCACCATGCCGGCCCCAAAACCTTTAACCTTTTTTTTATTTTATTTTGTGAGGTTTTTGCTATAGGGTGCACTCCCCAGAAAGAAAGAGACAGAGACAGAAAGCAAGAAATCACCCCCTGGGGGGATGGCCATGTCGCAATCCTTTCAACTCCATTCTCCTCTTGAAATCTTGGGCACGCACGCACACATGCCTGGCTTGAGTTTAAGCCACCAGGTCCGGGACTTGAACTGCAGTCAACTAAATGGGAGTCTAGCCATCTTTAACCTTTTAGTGAAGACACATGAAGCTGTAACCACCTTTGAACTTAAAAGTGGCCCCTTGCTTCTTCACATGGGAAGATCTACATCTTATCTAACATAGATAAAAGCTTACCACGTAGTCTTTTGGTTTTTAATACAAAACTAGAAGGCCCCCCACCATCCTGGGGGATTAAAAAAAAAAAGCGAGCATGGGACCAGCAGTTAGTGTAATGGCTACGTTGCTGAACTCCCATGTAGCCGACCGTGGTTCGAATCCCGGACCCAGTGGCTTAAACTCATGCCGGGTGCGTGTGCGCCCAAGAGGAGCATGGAGGAGCAGGGATTGTGGTGTGGCCATCTCCCGTGGGGGGTGATTTCTCACTTTCTCTGTCTTTCTGGCGAGCGCACGTGCCCTTATAGCAAAACCCTCCCCTCTTACCCACAAAAAAGCCAGAACCACTACTAAACTTGCTAAATTGAGGGATCAGCAGATGGAGTAATGGTTCTGTTGGACTCCCACATGGCTGTGTTTCGAGGACTAGACCTGGTACCCTCAAGCTCATGCTAGGTACATGTGAGTATGTGCCCAAGACCACAGAAAGAGAATGGAGACAGGAGACAGGACTGCGCTATGGCCAGTCTCTGGGGGACTGGGGGTGGGGGGTACTTCTTATCTCTCTGGTGAGTACATGCAACCCCAACCACAAAACAAAAACAACAAAAACCAAAACCCAAACCTGATAAACTGAAATCAGCAGAGAAATTATGAAATGTACCGATGTTTTGCCATTCTCAGGTTGTTAAAAGGCACCACAGGGACCAGAAGTTAGTGTAATGGCTATGCCACTGGACTCCCATGTAGTTGACCACGGTTTGAGTCCTGGAACCAATGGCTTAAACTTACACTGGGCGCGTGTGCGTGCATGCCCAAGATCCCAAGAGGAGAAAGGAGGAGAAGCGATTGCAGCGTGGCCATCCCTCCTGGGGGCTGATTTCTCACTTTCTGACTCTATCTCTGTCTTTCTGGCCAGTGCACGTGCCCTATAGCAAAAACCTCTCGAAACAAAACAAAACAAAACACCACAGACTCATGGAACACTAGGATATGTGGCTAATAAACTCAGAGGAATCATCCCAGTTCTTTGAATTCTCCCAGATGTAAACTATAATAAATCCACTAACCTGCTGTCTCTTTCATCTTCATCAAGACAAATGCTCCAATCTGACTTGGAGAATAGAGTTTTCCATGAGCCTCAACCCAGGCATCGCCATTGGAGGCACGGACAATTTTAAAGGGAACGTTTTTACTGAAAGACACAAAAAGTCACACTAGTGAAAACTTGCCAGTGCAGCTTGCAAGATTACCTTACACCATGAATGATCATCCTCCAACCCAGGAGACCCATGGCCAACAAATGGTAATTTCAGGAATTGACTTAATATGCGGAAAACAGTAACATGTTAGAATATGCTGATAAAATGTGAACAAGCTTTACTTTCAACCAAATGAGACTTACAGCTGCTTTGAAAAATAGCCTGGTACTTCCATATAAAAAGAAAATAGTTAACACACAACTCAGTAATTCCATTAGCAGCTATTTACCCAATACAAACGCAACCATATACCCACATAAAAACCTACACGAAAATGTTTATAGCAACATTATTCATAATATCCAAAAAGTGGAATTAACCTACATGTCCATCAAGTGACAGGGATAAATCAAATGTATATACCCACACAGATTATTTGGCCATAAAAAGGAATGCAGTACTACAGAATGGATGACCCTGAAAACATTCTGCTAAGAGGCTGTTCATGATTCCATTCCTATAGAATTCATTTCCCACTCATAGTTCAATGAGGGTTTACAAAACAGGAATCTCTACCTATGCCTTTTGCTCTTTTAATCTTTGAAAAAAAGCAAAACCAAGTTTTGTGTATGTATGCATACAAGAGACTTCAAAAATTCATAGAAAAGCAATCATGAAAAAATGTCATGGGTTTTTTGCACCAAAATAAACTCATTATTTTAATTCCATTTCCCCACGAACTTTATGATGTGAGAGTTTTTTTCTGGAGATACATGTATGATCAACACAGGACTGAACCTATGCCATTATCTGCCTTAACTTACAGTTTAAGAATCCCTCACAAATGTTCATATACCAGGTCATTATAGAGCAAAGATGACCTGTGACAGCAAATAATAACTGACTTTTTTTGAAGGTTATATACTCTTTTGACAGGGACACGGATTTCCCTCAGAACAGTATGTAGAATAAGTAGGATGCTTCAGGGATTCTGATTAAGACACTCAAAGATTCTTCTGTGGGGCCCTTGCAAACTGTACCTTCCTTATTACTCACATGTCTTTCTGTACTTCAGGGTCATCATATCGTCGGCCAATCAAACGCTTGGTGGCATAGAATGTATTGCTCCAATCTGACTTGGAGAATAGAGTTTTCCATGAGCCTCAACCCAGGCATCGCCATTGGAGGCACGGACAATTTTAAAGGGAACGTTTTTACTGAAAGACACAAAAAGTCACACTAGTGAAAACTTGCCAGTGCAGCTTGCAAGATTACCTTACACCATGAATGATCATCCTCCAACCCAGGAGACCCATGGCCAACAAATGGTAATTTCAGGAATTGACTTAATATGCGGAAAACAGTAACATGTTAGAATATGCTGATAAAATGTGAACAAGCTTTACTTTCAACCAAATGAGACTTACAGCTGCTTTGAAAAATAGCCTGGTACTTCCATATAAAAAGAAAATAGTTAACACACAACTCAGTAATTCCATTAGCAGCTATTTACCCAATACAAACGCAACCATATACCCACATAAAAACCTACACGAAAATGTTTATAGCAACATTATTCATAATATCCAAAAAGTGGAATTAACCTACATGTCCATCAAGTGACGGGGATAAATCAAATGTATATACCCACACAGATTATTTGGCCATAAAAAGGAATGCAGTACTACAGAATGGATGACCCTGAAAACATTCTGCTAAGAGGCTGTTCATGATTCCATTCCTATAGAATTCATTTCCCACTCATAGTTCAATGAGGGTTTACAAAACAGGAATCTCTACCTATGCCTTTTGCTCTTTTAATCTTTGAAAAAAAGCAAAACCAAGTTTTGTGTATGTATGCATACAAGAGACTTCAAAAATTCATAGAAAAGCAATCATGAAAAAATGTCATGGGTTTTTTGCACCAAAATAAACTCATTATTTTAATTCCATTTCCCCACGAACTTTATGATGTGAGAGTTTTTTTCTGGAGATACATGTATGATCAACACAGGACTGAACCTATGCCATTATCTGCCTTAACTTACAGTTTAAGAATCCCTCACAAATGTTCATATACCAGGTCATTATAGAGCAAAGATGACCTGTGACAGCAAATAATAACTGACTTTTTTTGAAGGTTATATACTCTTTTGACAGGGACACGGATTTCCCTCAGAACAGTATGTAGAATAAGTAGGATGCTTCAGGGATTCTGATTAAGACACTCAAAGATTCTTCTGTGGGGCCCTTGCAAACTGTACCTTCCTTATTACTCACATGTCTTTCTGTACTTCAGGGTCATCATATCGTCGGCCAATCAAACGCTTGGTGGCATAGAATGTATTGTTCGGGTTGGTGACAGCCTGTCGTTTGGCAGGCATGCCAACAAGTCGCTCACCATCTGCTGTAAATGCCACAACAGAAGGGGTGGTTCTGGCACCTTCAGCATTCTCCAGCACCTAAAACTCACAAAAATAAGACATAAAATACAGTTTATACCTGTCTATAAAGATAAAAAAAAAAAAAAAAGATAAGACGTTGTATCTTTGCAAAAAAGGTCCCAAATCACAAATGCTTATGAACATACTAATGGGCTTACTTTACTGCTGTTAATGCTGACATCATAAATATCTACTTTTGAACACAAAAGACATTTAAACTACAGATCAGGTCTTCCATACTCAATATGAGAACAAGGTAATCTTTCCTCTCATATAGAGAATTACATCTACATCTTGGATGATTAGGTGGCATACTGGCAAAGTTGACTGGATCTCACATGGCTGGCTGCACAGTTCAATTCTTGGACCAAGAAGCTTGAAAAACATGGCAGGTATGTGTGTATACATAACCAAAATAGTAAGAGGAGAATGGAGAATTTCCCCCAATTGCAGCCTGTCTCTGACAAGGCACACATCCTATAGCAAGTCTTAAAAAAAAAACAAAAAACAAAAAAAAAACCAGTTTGTGTAATGGCTATGTTGCTGGACTCTCACATAGTCGACCGTGGTTCCAGTCCCAGACCCGATGGATTGAAATTCACGCTGAGTGCGTGTGTGTTTGTGCCCAAGATCCCAAGAGGAGAATGGAAGAGATGAGACTGCAGAGTGGCCATTCCCCCGGGGGTGATTTCTCGCTTTCTTTCTCTCTTCTTTATGGCAAGCACACACATTCCCTATAGCAAAAACCTCTCCAAAAATAAAATAAATAAAATTTAAAAAGTTCCGAGAGAAAGCATATTATGAAGAACCATGCTTGGACTTCAAACTCATACTTTAACTGCATTACCCATAAATCTCTGAAGTCCCTTATCACTCAGACCATCCCAGAAGGTGGCACGGAGTAAATAGGAAACATGAATGGCCATATATGGAATAGGCAAGATTTAAGAATCCCAGGTGCCCAGAGCTAGCAGGTGGCATGGCGTTTGGGGGCACCAGACTCCCACATGGCTGACTGTATTCGAGTCCCAGACCTGGACTCAAACTTAAAAGTGAGAAAGGAAGCCACTAGGTCTGGGACTCGAACCACAGTTGGCTGTGTGGGAGTCCAGCACCCTTAGCCACCTGCCAGCCCCAAATAATCCCCCCCCCCAAACAAACAAACGAACGAAACACACAAAAAAACCACCCAGGTGACCTAAAACTTGCTTCTTTCTTTTTCTTTGAATTTTTTGAGAGGTTTTTGCTACAGAGCGTGGGCGTGTGGTGCTTTGCCAGAGAGACAGAAAGTGAGAAATCACCCACCCAGGGGGGATGGCCATGCCGCAATCCCTTCCATTCTCCTCTCAGGATCTTGCACACGCATGCAAACATACACGCCTGGCGTGTTTAAGCCACCAGGTCCAGGACTCAAACCACAATTGACTACATGGGAGTCCAGCAACTTGACATAGCCATTACGCCAACTGCTAGTCCCACTAAAGGTTTTTTCCATAGGGCATGTGCACTCACCAGAGGGAAGAGAAAGTGAAAGGAAAAGTGAGAAATCACCCTCCAAAGGGGATGGCCACAATGCAATTTCCTCTCTTCCTGGGATTTTGGGCAAGCACACATACCTATCTTGAGTTTCAAGACACCGGGTCCAGGACTTGAACTGTGGTTGGCCATTTGGAAGTCTAGTATCTTAACTAAGCCACCTGCTGATCCTGTTTGTTTTCCAATGGTCCTTAATGGTCCAATGGTTACATGTATGATAGAGGCTTTAGAAGGAACAGCCTTATCATAGTAGTCAGGTAAGAGTTAGCTCCCATTTACAGTAGCTAGGACAAGCCCGTCTCCCCACCTAGAGGATAATCACTATGCTGTGTGACTCCTGATAATTCTTTGCCCTTAGACATGTAAATCTTAAAGAATTAATGACCCTAAGCTTCTAACACATACCCACTCCAAAATTAGGAGAATAAAAACAACCCATCCAACATGTGCCCCTCCCCACCATGAGAGATGCATGTCCATGTGAACAAACCACACTTGAAAATAAGCCCTTGGTGGTTAAGGGGCCGGCTGAACTCCCACGTGGCTGCCTATGGTTTGTTTGAGACCTGGACCCAGAGGCTTGCTTTCTGACTCTCTCTCTTATCAAACTGAATAATAATGAATAAAATTAAATTAATAATTCTAAAAAAGAAAAAGAAAAAAAAAAAGCCCTAACAAGGTCCCCAATCCAGATAAACACCCCTGGCTTCAGTTCCTCCCAGACAACCTGGGACTCCTTCTTTCTTGGAGCTTTGATTTTCCTTCCTCCCCCTTCAATAAACTCCCTGCCTTACTATACCATCTCGTTGTGTCCGTGTCTCTAATTTTTCATTGAGTATGAGGTAAGAACTTATGTTGGTTGAGAATGCTGGGCTCAATTGCCCTTGCATTCTTTGAGTCAGTAGTAAGATTCTGAAAACATGTCTTAGGATGCTTCTTGTGTGTTCTTGTGTCTCTAATTGATTCAACTGACTTACAAAAATGTAGGACTTTTGATTAGAGGACTAACACTGTAAGTCACTCCAGCTTCTAAGTCAGTCTTACCTTTCTAGCAGATGACACATTTAAATCCTATCCTGGGAAGTCAAATCCATTCAATTATTAGCACCACAAAGATTTACCTCAAAAGACTCTTAAACCAAAAGCAGCTTTAAAAATGTAAATCAGGTCGCCAGATATCTTATCTAAGTCAGAAGGCAAAGAATTCTGGATTGGGTACTAGCTTACCTTTGCTTGTTTACCTTCCATAACTGCCACACAGGAGTTGGTAGTACCCAAATCAATACCAACAACTGCTCCTTTGATTGCTTCCGATCTGTAAGACATTTTAATCAATGCCATGGTTATTGTTCAAATAAAAACCAAAAACACAGGGTCTCACTTTGTTGCCCCTGCTAGCCTGGAACTCATGGCCCTTCTGCCTCAACCTCCAAAGTCCCTGAAGTTACAGGAGCATGCCACTGTGCCCAGTCTATTAAATTGGTCAGAGGATCATCCTGGGCCTCCCACGTGGTCTCAGACTATGCAGCCATGAATCTGAGCAGTGCATGTTACCGGGCCTACCAGATTATTTTTACTCTAACACCAGTCCCTAAAATAGCCAAAAAGAGGAAACATAAGGCCAGCTTATGATGTTAAGGTAGCTGACTATATGGATTGATTCCGGGACCAAACAGTTTGATTCCTGGACCTGGTGACCTGAGAAACACTTTGGGTGTGTCAGTGGCAATAACCAACTCTAAAGAAATAACAACATGGTTTATTTCTAAACACGAATGAGTGACCCCCTGAAAAAAGGTAAGCACGTCTTTCTCAGAGTGCTCAGCTACAGCTGTTCCTTTTACGTGGTTTTAAGGGGGGAAGACAAAATTTGGAATTCAGTGACAAGTTTTTCACTGACTTGGTCTGGTCCAAAAAGGTGGGACATGTGGAAGCAGGAAGTTTGTAGGTTATAGGTGGGTTTTATCATCTTTAGGTTGGTGAGTATAAAGAGGCTTAATATACATTACAAAGATACTATGCCAGTGACAGGACTAGAAGGAATCCTGTTATCAGTGGATCAAAATGGTCTATTAGTGTTTGTGGGGATGACTTCCCTAAGACCCTCTGGAAAGGATTTTGGAAATAGGGAAAAGCAATCAGACTTCAGTCAAAAAGTATGCATGTTTTTCAAAATCCTGAAAGAGGGAAGAGTTGATGGAGGGGATTTCAGTGTGATCATTCTGAACTTTCTTCCTTTCCTTCTCTTTCTGGAAAATTAATAAGATTAAAAAAAATAAATAGGAAATAGTTCAAAATTTGATACAGGAATTGCTATTAGCTTATAACATAATCTGCAAATGAAAACAGATAAATGGTTATATAAAAGAACAGTATGTCAGAAATACAGCAACCACTGCTCAAGGGCATGTATATTCTCTCTCAAAAGAAACAAAATAATACTTACGCATAATCCCGCCTTGAGACAATTCTAAAAGCCTCATGACTAAAACCATTCCAGCCATCCTAGAAAGGAAAAGAATTGCATCAGCTCCCCTCTACATGAGAAAACTTGGGTTTGTTCCAGTCACCCTTCAGAAGAACATATGAAAGTTTCAGATTTTTCTGCTGAGTTGCTGCCATGGTTTTTGTAAAGTACTTAGTGAGAGTTACTAAAATTTCCAGATATAAACATGAAAAATTGCCTTGAACTATAATACAAAAAAATTGTCTTGAATTACAATACAGTTTTTCAGCAGTGACACTGTTCAAGACAAACCTTTGTTGTAGGGGGCATCCCTGGCCTTTTCAAACTAGAAGGGAGTACATACATCTTCCCAAATTATGACAATCTGTCTCCCATTATTGCCAGAAGCCATAATTACTCCTAATTGGAAAACCACTGCATTACAAAACACTACTCTTTTGTACTGTGAACACTATACCTTCAGACTAAATACACATGCACTTTAAGTATAGACTTAATTTATCCATAGATACTTCCCCTGAAGTATCATATGCTGGTTTGAGGGAGTTAGGATTACTAACTTTCTGAAATTATTCTTATTTTTTTTTTTTAGAAGTTTTTGCTATAAGGCGTGTGCACTCGCCAGAAAGAAACAGACAGACGGGAGAAATCACCCCCCAGGGGGGATGGCTACGCCACAATCCCTTCTCCTCTTGGAATCTTGGGCACACGTACATATGCCCAGCATTGAGTTTAAGCCACCGGTCCGGGACTGGAACCACCACCGACTACCTGGGAGTACAGCGACACAGTCACTACGTAAAGTGCTGGTCTCCTAGTCTTCTGAAATTATTTAAAACTAAAGATTTAAGAAGTGGCTTTCCATCAGGATATTTAAAAAAGAACCAAAAAAAAAAAAAAAAAAAAAAACCCACCCCTTCCTTACAACCTAACCTCTGGCTTCTTTAAAGCCCCCACCATAAACGCAGAGAAAAATATAATTACTATCCTTCAAAGACAAATACTTTTGGTTTTAAGTAACTCCTAGCAACCACTTCACAGCCTTTTTCTCTCAATTTACTCACTTCTCTGAAATAACAAATGACTACAACCTTTTTTGGGGGGGAGAGGTTTTGCTATACTGCGCTGCGATCGCCAGAGACAGACAGAAAGCGAGAAATCATCCCCACCCTGGGATGGCCACGCTGCAATCCTTTCTTCTCCATTCTCCTCTGGGGATCTTAGGCAGGCACGCACACGCGCCCGGCGTTTCAGCCACCGGCCGGGACTCGAACTGCAGTCTCCAGCGACATAGCCAGTATGCCAACCGAATGACTACAATCTTTCAATGGAGATTGCAAAAACATTCCTGACGAAGAAAATAGTCAGGCCCTGATGTATTTTCTGCCTAGGTGTTTTTTCCTTTACTTCTTTAAGACAAAATGTCCTTGGGAACCAGCAGTTAGCGTAATGGCTATGTCGCTGGACTCCCACGAAGTCGACTAAGGTTCGCGTCCCGGACCCGGTGGCTTAGAACTCACGCCGGGCGCGTGTGCGTGCGCGACCAAGATCCCAAGAGGAGAATGGAAGAGAAGGGATTGTGGCGTGACCATCCCCCCTGGGGGGTGATTTCTCGCTTTCTGTCTCTTTCGGTCTGGCGAGCGCACGAGCCCTATAGAGAAAAACTGAAAAAAAAAAAAAAAAAAGAAAAAAGAAAAAAAGACAATGTCCTTAAATATACCCTACACCTTGTACCGGAAGGGCACCCATATTCGACTCCTAATCAAAATCACGTCTTCCGCCCTCCTAATTGACTGAAATCCTCACTCCTAAGGCCAAAATTGTTCAACCAGCCACAGGACGCAGTCAGGACCACTACCTGATAACTCACGGGGTGAAGACTCCTAGATAACGAGGTGTGTGACTCAGCATGGCCACAGAGGTACGGAGACAAACCCTAAACAAGGTCTTAACAGACACCACTAACTACGGAACGTCCGTTATCCTCCTTCCCTCCAGATCTCTCCTGGAAAAATGTGATCTCGAAAGGCGAGCCTGCCGCACTGAGGCCCAAGCCCGTGAGCCTGTAGGCCGTGAGCTCCTCCACAAGGCCCGACAGCTCCTTACCTGGTGGCGGGCGGCCGTGGGGACCCGGGGGGCTGCGGCGCCCACGAGCCGGGCTGCAGCAGCTCGGCTGGCACTTATCATGGCGGCTGGATTGGAGGGGAAAGGAAGCAGCAAAGAAGCCCTGGAACGCCCGGAGCTGCTCAGCTCGGTGGTTGCAGCGTTTCTGGAAACCTCCAACCACGTGGGGTGAGGGGCGGGGGTTGATCACTGCGGCCCGGAGGCCCGAAAAAAAGCGGCCCGGAGGCCCGCTCTGCCGCTGAGGCGCCGCTCGCGCTGCCTGACCACAGACTACCAGACAGACGCTTCCAGAATCCGGAAGTGCTGGTAATGGGCTTCGCAGCATAATATCTGAAAATACATAGTTTGCCCTCCTGTTCAGGCCTTGGTGGCTCTGGGCTCAGAGAGAAGCAAACAGAGGACGGGGCATATGAAGGCAGTACTTCGGACAGCCCAGGTCCTCAGAGGCAGGAAAGACTCAAGGTCACACGGGATAAATTGCGAATCGATTACAGCCTTCTTGCGTCAGTTGAGAGGGAGGAGGAGCCTGTTGCGCCTGCGCAGCTGGCATCGGGCTGAGCGACTGGGGCGCATGTGCAAGGGGCGTGGCAAAAGCGGAGGTGGAGACTAACCACCTGCGCTTATTGGAGGCTCTAGCGCACACGAGTTAGCCCCGGGCGAGCCCGGGCGCGGGCACGCTTTGCGCGTGGACTTGTCCCAGGTCCCGTTCCTCGCGCCGAGCGCCATCTTGTCTTCGTGCTTTGTTCAGTCCGAGTCTTTGTTGCTCGGTTCTGCCCATTTTTCGCTACTTGAACTACCCCGGATGTACAAACGTTAGGCAAGTTCGTGCTCCTCTTTTAATCAGAGTAATCTCTGGTTTTTAACTACTAAAGCAACGTTTCTCACACACACAGCATTGAGTCGCCCTCGGCTAATTACTGTGCAAATCATCGAGGGGAAAAAAAAAATGCAAGTTCAGGCTCTTCCTCGCCCTCCGGAGGCCTGACAGTCTCCAATGGCCTTTATTTTTTTAAAAGATATTTTATTTAACTTTATTTATTTTAATTTCACCAGAAAGGGACAGCAAGAGAGGGAAAGTGAGAAAGCAAGCCGCCAGGTCCGGGACTTGAACCATGGTGAGCCTTCTCCTATGGCCCTTTTGAAGCTTTGTGCCAGTGCAAAATATCAGTTTACCACTCTGCCCTGTCACCATTTTCAGGTGTTTTTGGAGAGGTTTTTGCTATAGGGCTCGTTCACTCGCCAGAAAGATGGAGAGAGGCAGTGAGAAACCCCCCCCCCCCACCACCACCACCACCAGGGGATGGCCTCGCTGCAATTCCTTCTCCATTCTCATTCTCCTCTGGGATCTTGGGCACACGCGCACATGTGCCTGGCATGAGTTTAAGTCACCTGGTCCGGGACTCGAACTGTGGTTGACTGCATGGGAGTCCAGGGATATAGCCATTATGCCAACTGCTGGTCCCCGTTTCCAGGTTTTTTTAAGAGAAAGAATTTACTGATTCAACAGCTATATTCTGGAATGCCTACTGTGTGTCAGGAACTCTTCTATGCGGTGGGATTACTGTGAAGGCATGAGCTCAGGACAGTGAGATTGAGCTTGATTTGGGGAAATAATTAATTTGTCCTCGAAGTCCTCTTTCAAAAAGATAAACCCTTACCTCTTCAGAAAAATCAATATTAACTGATCACCACTGTATAAAGAATTGTAAGGAAAATGTTGAAGAGGGAAAGACGGTAACTGAAAAATTTACATTCTGAGGAGGATGGAAGTGGGAGTAAGAAAACAAGCACAAAAGTCAAACATAACATTGGTTTCTAGATTGTGCAGATTCTAAAAGTTAAAGCCTCCCACACACTCATCCTTAATGTTAGCTATTATATTATCCTCAGTGGTCTACTTACCTTTCATTTCTATTGGTGTTTAATTCCCTGAAAGGTAGGTTTTCTTAAAACGGTTAAAGCTTTAGGCTCATGACTCCCATTTGTAGAGATTTATGTGCTAAAACAATATAGTGATGTAGAAAATCATAATGAATGGTGATTTTAAACATTGAAGCAAAATAGAAACTTATACCTGGAGGGAGGAGGGCAGGTGAAAATCATTGTAGAAATTACATTCTCTTCACTTCCCCCTTCCCTCAGCTGGTTCTCTTAGGAGGATTTTTTTGTTGTTGTTTTTGTTTTTTAATTCTTGCTCTGTATGCTAAAAAGCCATAAAATGTTAATTAAAAGTCTCCTGGAATCAAATGTCCAAAGGAGACCATGATACTGTTAAGTCTGTGGGTACATAGGAGGTAGTC